ATTTGGTTTAAATATATTTGCATGGCACTGTACAATTGTCTATTTATATACAAGGTTTTTATGGTAAAAAAGACGTGTAATTGGACAGGGGAATGGATTTTCAAAAAGGATTTGGACTTACGTTTACACACCTGGAGCTTGGCAGTGAAGTCATTGAGAAGGATTTGTAAAGCCTCTATTGCTGCAGTGAATCTAATACTGCATGTTTCCTTCCAGATCCTCCGTCTGTGACTCTCTCTGTTCAGCCTCAGACGGTGATGGAGGGAGCAAAAGTGTTGTTCATTTGCTCTGCCTCTGCCAACCCTGAGATCACAGGTTACAGGTAAGCACATCTAATATCACAACAGACCCAATGCATAATCCCAGATTATCCACTCCATCAGATTTAGATTTGAGAGTAAATCCCAAATTGGATATAAATTACAGATCAAATGCTTTGTGCACAGTTGCTTCAGTGTTTGGTTTTAATAATAGTTGTTATTGTAAAGGGTGAAACATCACAAAGAATGTACCAGTGAATCAAATAAATGAATGCATTTTCATGTTCATGTTGCAAACAGATGGTCCAAGGGTGGGGTTCCTATCTCGGAGGCCAATGGTGACAGCCTGGAGGTGACCGTAGACCACTCTTACTTCACAGACCCAGTGTCCTGTGAGGTGTCCAACTCAGTAGGAAGTACTAATGTCAGCACCTTGGTGGATGTACAATGTAAGTACTTTTCTGTCATCCACCTCCGTAATAACATATAAAATTGGTTAAAGCAAAATTGGAGATGTTCAATCTGTATGTCTCTCCTTTATCCTAAATTTCAAGGAAGGAAATTAAAAAAGTCCTTAAAATCAAGAGGATATCCTTTAGAGATGTTTGTTGTACTATAAGTAACATTGAATAGAAAGTGCTTGATAAATGACATCAGTTTGTAACTCACCATTTTTTAGTTGTGGCCATGTATTTTGGTCTCCATTCAGATTTAGATGTGGAGTGTCTGTTAAATAAGATACATTTTCATTCAGTAGTCTAACAGCGGTGTTTAGGTATAATCAGTCTCTTAAATAATGTAAACGTGGCACTGCATGAAAAATTTTCATATACAAGTAAGAAGTAAACAATACACGGTCACATCTTTTCCTTCAAAAATATAGAGCCATACGTACCTCTCACATTCATTCCTTAGAATTACCGTCATTTCCTACTTGTATTCTTAATAGGGGATGAGAACATTGTAATGGGCTTCATTTTTGTTTTGTGCTTGCAAAAACATACTCCATTGAAATGTACTAAAACACAATGGGAATTCATGTCTTTTATTTTTAGTTGGTCCCAGGTTGATGACAGAACCGAAACCCCAGACAGTGGACATAGGGATGGATGCTGCTTTCACTTGCTCATGGACAGGCAACCCTCCCCTCACTCTGGCCTGGACTAAACAAGGCTCCAGTGTGGTATGGTGACCTCTTCTCTTTTTTCTAAAAATGGCACACCATCTACAACTGTCACAGCAATCCTATTTGAATTCATTCTATGAGTTCTAGATGTATATTACTTTTTTTATTAGGGTATAAAAGGATTAGGTTGGAGTGATTCAGAACAACTTGTGTTTTTTTGACAATATTTTGTTACCCCAGTCCAGTTTTTATTTGATCCAATACACACATTCCATCTCCATTAAGTTTATTCACTTAAAAAAGGTTCATTACATTAAACAAGTCCATGTCATATCTCATCTCTGGCACCAGAATCACCCATCTCCAAAATCCCAATTTAACCCGTCTGTACAGGAAAGACAAAATGATTTTCTGCTCAGAGCTGGATGGTTAATGGATGACTTTTCTGTTTACGGCGCATTTACAGGAGTTTGGTAAATGGATAAAGTGATCGCTAGCCTAAAATGAAAGTTTAGCTCCAGTAGATGTGTGAAATGCATCAGCCTATTCTGCTGTAAGTGTTTCTCTGCTGCTGCTTAATCAGATTCCATAAAGAGCCTGAGAAAGCAAACAAAAAGCGAGAGAGGAAGGAAAAATAGAGAGAGGGAGTGGGAGGCTAAGGCTGAAAAGCCAGAAGGTTCTGATGAGATAATCAGTTCATTTTGCCATGATTACATCCCACCCTACCCTTCCTGAGTATGGGCCGATCTGATCCACAAGTAGAGTGTTTACTTCATCGCCACAAGATATGGATTAATTGGCTAATTCGATGAGTGCTGGCGAATAAAAAGTGCGAGGCGAGTGCTAAACGGATTAATCACAGTTTGGTGGCGTCAAGAAGGGGAAGTAGGAGAAGGGGAAGAGGGTGCTCTAATGATCAATGGCTTCTAACAAGTGACCGTGGTGTGTGTACCAGTGCACTAGAGGCGAAGGAGCACAAGTATCTGCTCACACTCTGGAACATTCCACACTGCCATTGTCATAGGTTTAATTAGAGCAGTGGGTTGACTCAGAGGACCCAGGCTGGAGCGCTTTAGACAGTAATTAAGATTGCTGCAGACAAAATTACAGGCGGAGTCAATGCTTTCCCCTTGGTATTGGTGACATTGGTCTTTCTCTTGTGTGAGCCACGAGCAATGAAATGGATGACTGGTGCTAATGGTAATAGCCATCTCTGAGGGCCACGGCTTGATCTGTCTGGAACAAAAACTCACTGCCTCTCTACACAATCTTCCCATCTTAATCCTGTGGAAATATTGATATGTTGTAATGATTTTCATTCCAGAACTGGCTAGAAAGATACAACTTTAACAGGAAGTGAAAACCATCAATATTACAAACACGTCTATAGACAGGCAATGTCATACAGACATTTGATATAAAGTATATACTTATATTTGGTGTGTGCTAATCTGTTGGAATAAATTATTGGCATGTGGTTTGTGGCAAACTCTTACCTGATGCCTATATCTGTGGTCACTTCTGTGGAGAAATGTCTTGGTATAGCAGCAGATCTGACCAGATTATTCTTCTTCATTATATTTAGCAGGTGCTCAGCAATAGTAACACGCTTCAGCTGAAGGCAGTTACACAAGAGGATTCTGGGACATACACCTGCAAAGCCATCGTGCCTCGGATTGGTGTGGCAGAGAGAGATGTAACTCTAACTGTCAATGGTAACTAAATGATGTCTTTTTATCTCATTTGTTTTATTCTCCCCTCGTTCTTTCCCAATTTTGTTCGTGATAAATTCTGTTGCAAAGCCACACGAGTTCACAGTTTTTGGTCAGCTTACTAGGGTTTGGAACAAACAGCTGTATTTTTTTTCTGTTAAGTGAATTATCTGATCAGTGAATTGCTTCCCTAATTGATGAGCTTCTATGTGCATGACCCATGCACTTGGTCTTGAGTACACAAGGAACATCAGCTCTGTGTTTTCTTTGCTTTCATTAGCACCCTTATTCAGTCAATTTCTCTTCATTTCTCTCTTTCACACAAACACTTCAGGCCCTCCCATCATCACGGCTGAGGCCACGCAACAGGCCGTCAAGCATTCCAAGGGCAAGATGGAGTGTCTAGTGGGCAGCAGCCCTCCCCCTGACAAGATTGTAAGTATACATTCTCCTATTTCTCTATGTATGTGGTTGCTAGGTTTCTGACGCTTAGTGTAGCCTTATTCCTGACAAGCTTGCTTGTGAGGCTTTCCCTTGAGCAGGTGCCTTCGGTGTGTGCACATCACATGCTGAAGCTCCCTTCCCCTCTCCCTCCAACAAGATCTCATGCGAGTCTCCTCTTTCCTTGCTCCTGACTCTCTCTTTCCATATCTGACACCCACACAAATACACACATGCACAGTCCAATTCCCCTATTAGAGAGTGCGCGATGAGAGGGCTGATCCTGTATCTCACCTTTTCCACCCTCAAGTGTGCAGAGGCGAACTGCACTAATGCCAGGGTCTGCAGAGAAGACCTCAGGCCCCATAGGCTCCTTTCCAACGGCGAGCAATTAGCGCATAGCACCACTGACCTCCCATCGACCCCATCGTACGTGGGAAGGCCTTTCAGTGGATAATTAGGGTCTAAGTTGGAGAGACATCAAGAAGAAGGGTAAAGCATAGAGATGGACCGAGACAGATGGAAGTTAAGCAAGGGTAACTGAAAGCAGTGATGCAAAGAAGGAATCAGAGACAAAGAAAAAAAACCCTCCTGATCCTGGAAACAGTGACAGGTGGGGATTCGGGGTGTTAATGGCTGTTATTTCTTTACCTGAGGCCAGTCAAGGGAGGAATTCTCAGACATGCTGTTTCACCTCTTTGCCAGAAAGGTGAAGGAAAGAAACCATGGCTTGTTCTCTCTCCCTGAGTAGCTTTGAGATCTCAGACTGATCTGCTGCTAGACAGGAGCTGGTTGTCTTCTCCGCATGTTTTTTCACTAAGCTCTTTTTCACAAGCCGAGACACAATACTGTTGGTAAACCAGCTCGAAATGACAGCATAAAAGAGCACAAGAAAAATTCCAATCTCTGACAGAGTTTATGACACTGAACGTTTACTTCTAGAGTGATAAATGTTTACACGCATGTCCTAAATTCTGCTATATTAAAAATGCCACTTTAGTTGTTCTGTTGTGTTGGCTGGACTAGGCTTGAATATTCAATGAGATTTTAAGTCAACCTGGAATCAAAATCGACCCCATTTACTTCATACATGTTCCTGGTCACATTGTGAACAATGCAATGGTGCATGTTATGAATAAATATACATGTTGTCTTTGCAATTCCAAACTTTCCGTTTGACATCAAGAATCCCTCTTGCCTTTTCATGACAAAATCAACAAAAATGTAATTGTCATTTTAAGCTTAAATAAAATGTAAGTATAAAGACTGTTGCTGCACCTTACACCTTGCCATCTCTTCCTCCTCAGGTATGGACATTTGGGGACATGATCTTGTCATCTGGCTCTTCTGGTCGTTTTTCCGTGCAGACAGTACACAGTGACCGAGGGGTCCTCTCCTCGCTAATCCTCTCAGAGACTCTGGCACAAGATTTCCAGCTTCGATACAACTGCACTGCTTGGAACCGCTTCGGTACAGGCACGACACTGGTCACTCTTGAAGAGCAAGGTATGGGGTCCTCATGCCAGATTATCCTGTGTAAAACATCCTTTTATTCAAAAGCAATATAGTACTGGTCGAATGTTTGGACACACCTAATTCCTTATTGTTCCAGCTTCTATAATGGTGGTAGTCATTAAGTTATGAAATGACATAAAATGAAGTATGAATATTAAGTAGTGATCAAACATGTTAAATAAAAAAATTATTTTACATTTTAGGTTCTTTGAAGTAGATAGCCCTAGATTACATCTCTGACTTGAGATGCTTTTAAACAGTATTTAATTAAAATCAGTATTGAGTTTACATGTATGCTTCGCACTTGTCCCCCTCCCACCACTCATCAATAAAAAAAAAAAAGTTAACCTTAAACCTTTAGATCAAAAGCTTCTCAAGACTGAGAAACAATTTCATTCAAGTGTGTCCATACTTTTGACTGGTAGTGTAGATCAGTGAGTGTTTGGGGAAATGTTGGGTCTGGAGAGTCAAAAATTGGAGGGATGAGAATCAAGCAACTGAAAGTAAAGTGAGAAACGTGGCACGAGTTTTAGATTTGTGGATGAGCCAAGCTCTTTTGGCACCATCCCTTTAATTATTGAAGAAAGGTTGATTTGAAAACACTGACAGTAAGTTGTAGGGTTTGTCCACCTTAGAGTTGGTGCCATTTATCTAAGATTAGACATGACCAGCTGTAATCCAGTTTGAGTCAGTTCTATGCAGGAATCAAGTCTCAAAACACCCTGCAATCCTGTGCTTATCTTAATTATACACCACCAAATCAATATAATTTAATCAGGAGATGTTTCACTTAATGAATACATTCGTTCCATAACAAATATATAGATTTTGAGCCTGAATGAATTAAATCAAGACCTAATGTACGGCATGGGTATGTAACGCTTCACTGACCGTTTCATTTTGTATGCACAGTGCACTGGCTTAAATTTGCTTAAATAAGACTAAGAGCGTGGTAGATGACTTGAGCCTTTGTACTGGGAGACACCAAAAATAAGGTCTTCGCCAGCAATTTGCATCAAGGCAGCAGAGCCAAGTCTCTGGAGAGGCAGACAGTGCTATCTCCTGGAATCTCTAATTAGATTACTGTCGGCTGCCTCACTGCATGTCAGGCCTGGTTACCCCTCTTCCACCAGAGATTAGAGACAATAGCCTGTTCCTGTGATGCCACTGTGGATCACACTAGATGAATTTCTATATGTTGCATTTGAGTTTGGACGTGGCTTGGAAAAAAAGCTTCTTTGTAGAACGCGTTTGACAAGCAGAGAGCTTTTCTTCAATCAGCTGGAGATCCAAAATACCTTTTGATAATATGAAAATTAAAGAATCTCACAAAGAAAATGTCAAGAACATGTCTGGGTCATAATTTAGCCCCAAACTTTAAAGAAAAAAAAAATATATTTTGCACAAGGAAAATTAACCCTATTTAGGGTCATTAAAATATATTGTGACATTTTTATGAAAATTACACAATTACCCAGTTCACTTGTAAATGTTAATTGAAATTATATGGTAGCATTTGTTGTACTAAATTTAATCTACAAATGTTCTTTGCAAATGTGCCAAAAAATAAATAAAAAATAGACTACTTTCTTCATACATTCTTGTTTTTTAGAATTATCTTTAAATAAGTTTATAGCAGGTCACAAAGTGTAAAAGGACAAATGAAGCATTATGGACGTTATAATAGAAACATAAAATCCACTTGTAATGAAATTAAAGCCTGAATTTGGATCATCTGCATACCCTGCAACTGAAAATGTAGATGTAATTCAGCTCAGTCACATTCCCTGTTTCCCTTGCAGAGGCCCTCCCCTTGCTAATCATCATTGGCGCATCGGTGGGCGGAGGCTGTGTCTTCATCGTTTGTGTCATTACCCTGGTTTCCATCTGCTGCCGCCACACTGCTAAAGGTGAGGTCAAAGGTCAGATGTTATCTGAGAGTTCTTATTCTCTCCTCAAAAACATGATACAGTAGAAATCAAACGAACTAACTAGACAGAGGTTAATTATGGGGCCACCTCTTTGCCTGGAGCAGTGTTGACCTTTTCACCTCTCTGGAAATCTTCCCACCGTTCACCTCATTAATCTCTATACACTGCGCTATTTCCTTACCCAGGCAAAAAGGGCACACGCCTGTCTAAGAGCGACATCCGCGTACAAATCGTGCACAGCGACCACAACGCAGCAAGAGGAAACGACGATGAAGAGGATGTGAAGGAGCCTATGGTAAGTCACTCTCAAAACAAAAAAGAAATACTTAGAATGGCCTAATAGATAGAAATATCTTTTATACCATTTTTCCCCCATATTTTTTTTTCCTGCTATGCTGCAGGAAAAACATGAAAACATCAACAGCAATACAACTCATTTTAATTTTAAAATATATTCCCTGATTTCTGAGTGAAATGGGATACTCAATAAGAAAAAATGTTAAACCTATACTTCCTTTTATCCATCAGGACCAAAAATATGTAGGACTTAGTGACATTAGCCAAAAAGTAAAGTAATTTATTATATTTTGCTTAAAGACGGTAAAAAAAAACACATATATCACAAGAAGACCAGGAGTTAGGGACAATATTAATTATGATTGCATGACATTTAACATACCATAGACACCAAGCAGTTTGTAACCCAAATCTCTGTACTCTTCTCAGGCTCCCAACAGCAGTGAGTCTCCAGGAACATCTCGCACAGAGCACAGCGACCTGCTGGAAGAGGAGGATGATGAGCGATCAGATATCAAGGTATTACATTTCACAAAGCATGACTTGGATGGTTAATCTGATAAAAGCAAAAGGTTGTTTTCAAAGGTTTGAGGAAACTATTGTACTTAACACAATCTTGCGGAGATAATATTTGTATTACACCACAAGCTTGGATCATGTTCAAGAAAGCCTACAATTCTTGGTCAATTTCTAACTTGTAGCTAGCACCTTACTAAAATAATTGGTATGTATTTCATTCTGTACAAGATTTTGTTATTTATCTGACAATGTTTTCTTTTGTTCTTCCTAGGACCCCACCAATGGCTACTACAATGTGCGGGCTCACGAGGACCGCCACATTACAAGAACTGGCTTCTCCGAATATGTCCCTAATGCTTGCCCAGTCTACACTCCCTCTCAGCTTCCCTCGCCGAGCCCCTTATACGGCCAGCACTCCACTCAGCCTCGGATTTATGACTTCTCCCAGCGTTATGCCACAACCCCTGCCACACGCACCACCTATGAGCAACAGCAGTCACAACAACCACAGCAACAACAGCAAACTCCCACCATCTACCCTCAGGAGCCAGTCTATGTGGGCTCTGCCTACCTGCCCGCCACCTATGGCCGCGCCTTCACAAGCTACGTCAAACCCACATCCTGTGAGAAGGTTGATGGGTATGAGCATTTAGACCAGGCCAGCAAGGTGTCCAGCTCCTCTCGATTCTCATACGCATCCTCGCAGGTGTCGTCGCAGCAGTCTGACTATGGACGGCCCTCTCAGCAACGCATGCAGACTCATGTGTGATGGCTCCCTCGAAGACCCACTGAGGGTCTGGCATGATCAATGTCATGATCAACAAGGACTTTCTTCTGAATGAGTTCAGGAGGGATTTAAAAGCAAACTTTAAACTGAGATTCAAGAGGTGGAAAAGCTTTATTGCTGTATTGAAGTGAATGTTGGATCAATGGGAAACTTCTTTCGAAAGAACTACAACGTGCCACTCAAGCTTGGAAGTCACCATCAAGCTACTAATTTTCTTTGTCCAAACGTTGAACTTTTAAGGGAAATAAACACCGTCCATCAATCCTTCTCTATGGCACTGTATTTTTATTAAAAAAGGTTCCAGCACTGATCCTTCTAGATCTTGGAGAAGGAACGCAGTGCTGTGGAGAAGGGAAGTGTCCTCATGAACTAACCCTTGCAAATGGGGACATGCTTATGACACTATGCTGAAACAATCAAAATGACATGAACTTAAAAAAAAATAATAAAAAAAATAAAGTGTTTGTTGGCATGATGATGGAATTGTAAGCACATTTGTGTATCAATGACAACAGGTCTTGCCTACACAAAGTGGCTCAAAATTAAATCCACAAAGCAGGGGAGCAGAAGAACGCAGAGCGCATATTTCTTCAGAAGCTCTATGTGCAGTCTGCACTGCTGTTGGGGTTGCAAGAGAGTATTTATGTAAACCCTCAATGGACCAGTGCAGGAAACGAATGCTTTGGTAAAAAAAAAAAAATATATATATATATAAAAATCCATAAAATATATTTCTGTCTGTTTGATAGAAACAAGATTGGCCAATCCCCAAAGAAGCAAATTTAGAGGTGCGGTCTTTTTAAACTATACTCTCAAGGACTTGTTGCAGAGTTCAGAGTAGAGCCCATTTCGGGACCACAGTTTCTTAAGTCAAGCCATACGGCAAACCTAAATTACAGCACAGCCTTGCAGCGTGCAGTAATAATCTTGAAATGTTCCTTATGTGACCACTGTATGTTATTAAATACAGAGTGTGCCAAGGTGACTGTTATGTCATGCTGACATGGCTGACACTGTCAGGTAGCACCAACATGTTTACACAGAAGAAGAAAAAAAAAAAAAAAAGATATAGCAAGTGAAATGCAGTACCGTCCATATCCACTTAGAGCCACTTCAATGACTGTACAAATTGCTGGGAAATTCATTCCTGTCTGTTGCATGCAGATGATGTGTGTATGTGAACGTATTCAGCATTTCTTCTCATCTGTTTGTTCCTTGTGTGAGAAACGGCTTACTGCACCCTACGTCAATTCGATCTTGGATACCTACATTTGGAAGTTTCCATACTGCCATTTTCCTTTGAGCCTGAATGGTCGGCTCCATTTGGAAAGATAAAAAAAGTCAAAATGAACATTGCTTGTCTTTATTTTTATATTTTATATAAGCCTTAATGTACAGAGTGTAAGCTGCTCTATTGTAAAATACCTTTATATTATAAAATGCATATATCTATATCTTTGAGTTGACTTTATTTGGCTCACAACGGTTTTTACCCCATGTTACTTATCAGTTTTGAAGAGGTGAAAGGTGTTACACAACTAATTGACTTTTTCCTTCCGTTTCTTTTTTAATAATGTTCAATTAATTTTATTTGCTAAAAATGAGCTATTGTTGCTTGTAACTTTGTACACATATTTATATTTAAATAAAACCATTTCAAATAATATCTGCTCTGACTGAAGTGAATTTGACACACATCGCTGGGTCTCCTCAAATGTCATGAGGAAATGAGGACAAACAATACCGGGGCTGCCGAGTTGATGAATACATAAATTAGCAGTGATGCCTATGTTGATTCTCTTATTCCCGCAGCGACAGCAGGGTTTTTAATAAAGACGGATGAGATTCCCAAGCCTCCCGCTGTCTGCGTATCAAACATAGCAGCCACAGGCCGTCTCCCTCAACGCAACCAAATATTGCGCTGACGGAGCGGGTGTCTTGTGACAACATTATCTTGTCGTGTCACCCAAACTCTCAGATTTCATCATGTCACGCCGAGCTTCACCGCAGGGAGTGTTGAAGACATAAACATGTACTCAGCATTAAACAAATGAACTGACGGCTACTCTGGTAAATTGAGGGTCATGTTTCCATCAGCTGTCATCATCCCTTGCATACAATGAACACTGCCGAAAATAACCAAACAAGAATGAATATAATGTGCAAACCTGGTAACATACAATGCAAACTCTGTTATCTTTAAAGGGGTCATATGATGCAATTAAAATTTTTCCTTTCTCTTTGGAGTGTTACAAGCTCCTGGTGCATAAAGAAGATCTGTAAAGTTGCAAAGACTAAAGTCTCAAATCCAAACAGATATTCTTTTTATTCTTTATTTAAGAGTCAGCCACACCTACCTAAAACGGCTCGTTCTAACACGCCCCCACATGTCTACCTCACTATCTGGGAAGATTTGCATAACGCCACCCAAATGTTCACGCAAAGAAAGAAGGCGTAACTTTTATTCTCGCTGTAGTATTGTTGTTGCCGCCGCCATGTCGTGAAGGCACTGTGTGTTTCGTTGTGAAAGCGGAACTACTTTGTTTGGCCTTCCAAAAGAGGACAATATCTGCTTCGTCATGCCTGGAGCTGATCCGTGCTGGTTGCTGAGGAAATACAACAACTTTGCGCTGTGGATCGCCTTTCGCCGAAGCGGAGTCCAATCCGAGGTCGTCACATGTGGTTGCCGCAAGCCTCCTTCGTCGAATCCGCCGGCCGCGCCGTTCTCAAGCCCGCCGCCTCTGCTCACTTTTTTATATTTAAAGCGAGTTTTTTGGGCAGTGTAGCGTAGGGCTTGTTGTTTGTAATTTCTCCGATCACAAATGCAGACATGGTTTTATGTTTACGCGGCGCGATGCAACGCAACACGTAAAAAGACAGTATAAGTCATTATAATCTATAATTATGTCCCCAATGGATGCAACGAATGCCTCGTTTATAATGGGTTTTCATGTTTTTGAATCATCGCTCCGGCCTGACAGGGCATCATCACAATATGGCAGGGGCATAACATTTCCTTCACACGCTTGTGGTATTCGGCCAATCACAACACACCTTGCTCTTCAGACCAATGAGCTTTGTAAAAATCGACGCGTTTCAGAAAGGCGGGGCACAGAGGAGAAACAATAATGTACAGTATGTGGAAAATAATGCATTTTTTTAACCTTAAACCGCATAAACACATTTCATTACACCAAATACATAAAATAATGTTCTTTTTAGCAACATCATACGACCCCTTTAAGACAGTGAGAAGACAGCGACACTCAGTGAGTATCTTGTGAACAAAAATGGCAAGTTTTTATCTTCCGTGGTGATATAATAACAGAAAGAACTAATCACTTGGTTTGCAAGAATAAAATTTTTTAACGAGTTAGGTTAGTAGTACTTACTGAAAAAGTCCCTATATTCAGGGATGCACATAAGTGGTCCGCATGCACGACTAAAATAAGAAATGCACTGTGTAAATTAGTTCAGAGTGCGCGTTTGCGTACTGATATTGTTGACAGCTGTTAATGCACAATTACCATTTTATTGTTGTTTACATGTTATAGTTATATTTGATGAGTCATACCATGTGCCGTGTGAGCAGTGTTGCCAACTTAGCAATTTTGTTGCAAAATTTAGCAACTTTTCAGACTACCCTTGCTACTTTTTCTTCCAAAAGCACCTAGCAACAAATTTAGCTATTTTTTTATTTTATTTGGCTACTTTTAGCAACTTTTGCTAAGTGATTCAAACAATAAAAAGGCACACATTTTCCATCTAAATTTCCCAAAAAGAGGAAACCAAAGATGCCTAGCAGTACACACATCACATGAATTAAGTTATTGCTATTTGCAATTGTTCAATTTGATAATAATCTAATAATTGTTCATTTATGATACACCTTGTTGTACCTGTGATTGTTGATCAAACTATAATTGTTCAGAATGTGTAGTTTTACTAGTTTACTAGCTAATAAAAAACTTGTAATCGTTCAAACATGTGCAAGTGTAAAATAATTAAATGTTGTATATAAAAATATTTATATTTTACCATTATATTATGCATTTATATTATTTTACGAACAAATCTAAATTAACATATACAAATATATTTTGTTGTATTTTGTATATTTGGCACGGAGATTTGATGTAGTGACAATTTTGCGAC